TTAAAGTAAAGGTTGGATGCGAGAAGTGGGTTATAATAAGCGTGTATGCACCTGGAGAAGAGAGGAATGTAGAGGAGAGAGAGAGATTTTGGGAGATGTTAAGTGAATGTATAGGAGCCTTTGAACCAAGTGAGAGAGTAATTGTGGTAGGGGACTTGAATGCTAAAGTAGGAGAAACTTTTAGAGAGGGTGTGGTAGGTAAGTTTGGGGTGCCAGGTGTAAATGATAATGGGAGCCCTTTGATTGAACTTTGTATAGAAAGGGGTTTAGTTATAGGTAATACATATTTTAAGAAAAAGAGGATAAATAAGTATACACGATATGATGTAGGGCGAAATGACAGTAGTTTGTTGGATTATGTATTTGTAGATAAAAGACTGTTGAGTAGACTTCAGGATGTACATGTTTATAGAGGGGCCACAGATATATCAGATCACTTTCTAGTTGTAGCTACACTGAGAGTAAAAGGTAGATGGGATACAAGGAGAATAGAAGCATCAGGGAAGAGAGAGGTGAAGGTTTATAACTAAAAGAGGAGGCAGTTAGGGTAAGATTAAACAGCTATTGGAGGATAGATGGGCTAATGAGAGCATAGGCAATGGGTCGAAGAGGTATGGGGTAGGTTTAAAAATGTAGTGTTAGAGTGTTCAGCAGAAGTTTGTGGTTACAGGAAAGTGGGTGCAGGAGGGAAGAGGAGCGATTGGTGGAATGATGATGTAAAGAGAGTAGTAAGGGAGAAAAAGTTAGCATATGAGAAGTTTTACAAAGTAGAAGTGATGCAAGGAGGGAAGAGTATATGGAGAAAAAAGAGAGAGGTTAAGAGAGTGGTGAAGCAATGTAAAAAGAGAGCAAATGAGAGAGTGGGTGAGATGTTATCAACAAATTTTGTTGAAAATAAGAAAAAAGTTTTGGAGTGAGATTAAACAGTTAAGAAAGCCTAGAGAACAAATGGATTTGTCAGTTAAAAATAGGAGAGGAGAGTTATTAAATGGAGAGTTAGAGGTATTGGGAAGATGGAAGGAATATTTTGAGGAATTGTTAAATGTTGATGAAGATAGGGAAGCTGTGATTTCGTGTATAGGGCAAGGAGGAATAACATCTTGTAGGAGTGAGGAAGAGCCAGTTGTGAGTGTGGGGAAGTTCGTGAGGCAGTAGGTAAAATGAAAGGGGGTAAGGCAGCGGGATGATGGGATAAAGATAGAAATGTTAAAAGCAGGTGGGGGATATAGTTTTGGAGTGGTTGGTGCAATTGTTTAATAAATGTATGGAAGAGGGTAAGGTACCTAGGGATTGGCAGAGAGCATGCATAGTTCCTTTGTATAAGGCAAAGGGGATAAAAGAGAGTGCAAAAATTATAGGGGGATAAGTCTGTTGAGTGACCTGGTAAAGTGTATGGTAGAGTTATATTGAAAGAATTAAGAGTAAGACGGAGAATAGGATAGCAGATGAACAGGAGGCTTTAGGAAAGGTAGGGGGTGTGTGGACCAGGTGTTTACAGTGAAACATATAAGTGAACAGTATTTAGATAAGGCTAAAGAGGTCTTTGTGGCATTTATGGATTTGGAAAAGGCTATGACAGGGTGGATAGGGGGGCAATGTGGCAGATGTTGCAAGTGTATGGTGTAGGAGGTAGGTTACTGAAAGCAGTGAAGAGTTTTTACGAGGATAGTGAGGTTTCCAGTTAGAGTATGTAGGAAAGAGGGAAATTTTTTCCCAGTAAAGTAGGCCTTAGACAAGGATGTGTGATGTCCCCGTGGTTGTTTAATATATTTATAGATGGGGTTGTAAGAGAAGTAAATGCGAGGGGTCTTGGCCAAGAGGCGTGGAGTTAAAAGATAAAGAATCACACACAAAGTGGGAGTTGTCACAGCTGCTCTTTGCTGATGACACTGATGCTCTTGGGAGATTCTGAAGAGAAGTTGCAGAGATTGGTGGATGAATTTTGGTAGGGTGTGCAAAAGAAAAAAATTAAAGGTGAATACAGAAGAGTAAGGTTATGAGGATAACAAAAGATTAGGTGTGAAAGATTAAATTTATCAGTTTGGGAGGGAGAGAGTATGGAGGAGGTGAACGTATTCAGATATTTGGGATGGACGTGTCAGCGGATGGGCCTATGAAAGATGAGGTGAATCATAGAATTGATGAGGGAAAAAGAGTGAGTGGTGCACTTAGGAGTTGTGGAGACAAAAAACTTTGTCCTTGGAGGAAAAGAGGGGAATGTATGAGAGTAATAGTTTTACCAAGCTCTATATGGGTGTGAAGCGTGGGTGATGAATGTTGCAGCGAGGAGAAGGCTGGAGGCAGTGGAGATGTCATGTCTGAGGGCAATGTGTGGTGTGAATATAATGCAGAGAATTCGTAGTTTGGAAGTTAGGAGGAGGTGCGGATTACCAAAACTGTTGTCCAGAGGGCTGGGGAAAGGGTTGTTGAGGTGGTTCGGACATGTGAGAGAATGAGCAAACATAATACTTAAAGAGTGTATCAGTCTGTATGGAAGGAAGGCGGGGTAGGGTCGGCCCTAGGAAGGGTTGGAGGGAGGGGGTAAAGGAGGTTTTGTGTGCGAGGGCTTGGACTTCCAGCAGGAAATGCTTGAGCGTGTTTGATAGGAGTGAATGGAGACAAATGGTTTTAAAACTTGACGTGCTGTTGGAGTGTGAGCAAAGTAACATTTATGAGGGATTCAGGGGAAAACCCCAGGCCGGACTTGAGTCCTGGAGATGGGAAGTACAGTGCCTGCACTCTGAAGGAGGGGTGTTAATGTTGCAGTTTTAAAACTGTAGTGTAAAGCACCCTTCTGGCAAGACGTTATGGAAGTGAAAGATGGTGAAAGTTTTTCTTTTTCGGCCACCCGCCTTGGTGGGAATCGGCCGGTGTGATAAAAAAAAAAAAAAAAAAAAAAAAAATAAAAATAGCCACTACCATCCACAGGATGGATATGAGGTACACAATAAACAGCCACTACCATCCACAGGATGGATATGAGGTACACAATAAACTAGCCACTACCATCCACAGGATGGATATGAGGTACACAATAAACTAGCCATACCATCCACAGGATGGATATGAGGTGCACAATAAACTAGCCACTACCATCCACAGGGTGGATATAGGTACACAATAAACTAGCCACTACCACCACAGGATGGATTGAGGTACACAATAAACTAGCCACTACCATCCACAGGATGGATATGAGGTACACAATAAATAGCCACTACCATCCACAGGATGGATATGAGGCAACATAAACTAGCCCCCTACCATCCACAGGATGGATATGAGGTACACAATAAACTAGCCACTACCATCCACAGGATGGATATGAGGTACACAATAAACTAGCCACTACCATCCACAGGGTGGATAAACGTACCAATAAACTAGCCACTACCATCCACAGGGTGGATATGAGGTACACAATAAACTAGCCACTACCATCCACAGGTTGGATATGAGGTACACCATAAATAGCCACTACCATCCACAGGGGTGGATATGAGGTACACAAACTGCCACTTTCCATCCCAGGATGGTATGAGGTACACAATAAACAGCCACTACCATCCACAGGATGGATATGAGGTACACAATAAACTAGCCACTACCATCCACAGGTTGGATATGAGGTACACCATAAACTAGCCACTACCATCCACAGGATGGATATGACGTACACAATAAACTAGCCACTACCATCCACAGGATGGATATGAGGTACACAATAAACTAGCCACTACCATCCACAGGATGGATATGACGTACACAATAAACTAGCCACTACCATCCACAGGATGGATATGAGGTACACAATAAACTAGCCACTACCATCCACAGATGGATATGAGGTACACAATAAACTAGCCACTACCATCCACAGGATGGATATGAGGTACACAATAAACTAGCCACTACCATCCACAGGAGGATATGAGGTACACAATAAACTAGCCACTACCATCCACAGGATGGATATGAGGTACACAATAAACTAGCCACTACCATCCACAGGATGGATATGAGGTACACCATAAACTAGCCACTACCATCCACAGGATGGATATGAGGTACACAATAAACTAGCCACTACCATCCACAGGATGGATATGAGGTACACAATAAACTAGCCACTACCATTCACAGGATGGATATGAGGTACACAATAAACTAGCCACTACCATCCACAGGATGGATATGAGGTACACAAACTAGCCACTACCATCCACAGGTTGGATATGAGGTACACAAACTAGCCACTACCATCCACAGGACGATTACCTAGCCATTACTAGTCATTTCTAACTCAAAATCTAAACAGGCAGAGTACAATGACTTTACAAAAACCAGACAGGAATAATTGCCACTGTTAAGAGGCAGCCTTAACTACAGCTTCCAACATCTAAGAACTAACAGCTACATCTCACATCTGGCACCGATGATAGTACCATAAGCTTTCTGACTGCCTTGTGACACGGCAGTTAGGGGCCCTCGCACCTTCACCTAACCATCACTTAAGATTTTCACTTTTCACTCTCTATATGCTGCGTTTTATTGTATAATTTGGGGTGGCCAAGATCCCAGGATCGATCCTGGTCTCGTATCCAAACTGTTTGCATTATTGTACCTTGTACAAGCACGGTACTGTGTTGTCAGGACGAAATGTAGTCAGGGTAAGGATGGCTGTGTGTGTGTGTGTGTGTGTGTGTGTGTGTGTGTGTGTGTGTGTGTGTGTGTGTGTGTGTGTGTGTGTGTGTGTGTAGAGTTCGACGTCGGGGTGTGTAGGTTAGGATGACAGTGTATTTACGTCAGGATGACAGTGTGTTTACGTCAGGATGACAGTGTATTTACGTCAGGATGACAGTGTGTTTACGTCAGGATGACAGTGTGTGTAGGTCAGGATGCTACAGTATGACATCACTATGTGCTAAGGTAAACATAACAGCGAACTGACAGTAACATGGAAAAAATACAGAAAGCAGAGGACAGTAAAGGACAGGAAACTAAGCATAAAAGTGAGACTGGAAGATAACCAATGGAGACGAAAGCATGAAAAAACATGATCGAAATGAAAAATGTGTAAGAAACACAGACCTGGCATCCTCAAGGGGCGCACTGATCTCAGTAAGGGTGAGGGACCCTCGCTTATTCTGGACCTGTGCTGGAGAGACACTCTTTCGTAGCATCTGTGATGATTTGGAGATGCGGGAGATGTGGGAGGCTGGCCGGTTGCTGCTAGAGAGACGTCTTGGGGTCCTGGGGGGTGAAATACTGCTTCCGGAGAGACGTCTTGGTGTCCTAGGTGGCGAAATGCTGCTTCCTGGCACTGACATCAGTGTAGGTGGGCTCAGACGTCCAGGTGAGGAAGAAATGTCATTTTTAGGTGTGGGTGGAGAGGTGGGGGTGGTAGGTGAGTCACCTTGTGTCTCTGGGGTGTGTGTCCCCTTCACTGGGCAGCTCTCTCTACCCTCAGCATCTCCAACTAGGGGTACATGGGTCACAACCACCTCTGGGGCTGATCTACGTCTGGGGGTGTCAGGGGGCACGTCCGTGGGCACGTCCACTGAAAGGGCCCTCTGACGCATGGGTGTGTTTGATATCCACAATGCTGCTCTCTCTGCTGTCTGTGACAAACCACTACTCTGATACGACCCCACAGAAATCTCAGATTCTGTGCTGCTGTTCGCGTGTGCTGTTAACTCCTGTTGCTGCTGCTGCTGTTGCTTGGGAGGACGCAAGGCATCCACACCCACCTCGTTCTCCACAGGCTTCACCTTAAACATCGTAAACAGTCTTGTTAGACGCCTGGAGCGTGCTTCTCTGCGCTGGGCAGTGCCAGCCAGGAACAACACTATCTTGTGGGCATGGGCACTTTCCCTGCGTCGCCGTTCATTCTCAACCTTCTTCAGCTCCTCCTTCAGCGTCCGGCGAATGCTCTGGTGTCGATAGAGGATGATCTTAGCAGTGGAAGTCTTCAAGCCAATACCTTTAGCGTTCATTGTTGCTAGCAAGTACCCGGTGGACCGCTAGTTTGGCTTCACTGTACCTGGCCAGGCAGGTCACTTGTCCTAATAGTCCAGAGTTCTAATGCACTTCCTTCAGGGGTGCCGGTGGAGCCCTGGTGAAGCCTCAGAGAGGCGGGTTTCAAAACTTGGCGCTTCAGGTATCACAATGTAGCATTTGGGTGTACTCAGACCCAGGGCTAACTTGTCCATACGGGCTAATGCCCGACTTCCGTTGCGGCCGCTGGTGGGTTTTAACGGGAGGCAATATTAACGGGGTTGGCCAGCCCAGGGTGGTGGTGGTGACGTCAGGTTGGCGGTGGGGGGGACACGCTCCCCCTCCTCCTCCTCCACCTCTCTCCCCCCCCCCGGCCCACTACCCTACTTCCATCACCACCACCACCACTACCACCATCACCACCACTGCTAATTATAAAGGACAATACAAGTGTTATTACAACCACTACCACCACTACCATCACTACCACCACTACCACCATCGCAAGAAACTAGGATATCGCAACCAAACCAGCCTTTACCTCGTCTACTGCCATTGCATCAACCACAATCACCACCACATCAACCACCACCCTCAAGTGTCAACCCAAACACAAAATTTTGTCTTAATTTGAGGAAAGAAACACGAACAGAAAGATGAAGAGGCGAACTGAAGAGAGAGGGAGTAGAGGGAGGGAGAGAGTGGAGGGAGAAGAGAAAGAGGGAGGGAGGAAGGGAGAGGAGGTCCTCCAGTCAGGACTGGTGAAGAGACTTGAGTACATATACCATTGTTTATAAACACTGTAAGTCACTGTTCTGGCCCGGATAAGTCACTGTTGTTCCTGCAGTACTTGTGGGAGGGCGTCAGGTACCTGTGTCCTAATTAAAATAGGCTAGAAAGGGGTGAGAGAAAGTTCCCAAAGTTGGAATGGGGTGAAAGGGGGGGAATGGGTGCTTGGCAGGGTGGAGAGAGTGAGAGGGGAGAGAGAGAGGGGAGAGAGAGGGAGGGGAGACAGTGAAACACGTGCTTTCCCTTCCCTACCCCCGCCATGACGTCACACGAAATCAATACAACGTATGCCGCTTTTTAACAAATAACGTTCCTGACGCACACGTTACGTCACGGTGGTGTTGTGCCATGCGTCGTACACCGCAGACGTAACTCCCGCGTCGACGTGAGCGTCGGGGACGCCTGACATAACCTCCCCGACGCACATCGACGTCCCTATGTAAACGGGGCGCTGACAACAACAAGCATTCTTGTCAGACTTGTACAGAGTACCTGCTGAAGGTAGTCACAGCCACCTCTGTGTTACACACCTCACCTAATGACTCCTCGTGACCTAATCACCCGGTACATAGCCAACTACGACGCCCAACTACGTGGCTAGCCCACAGAAATGACCTAAAGTACGACATGTCTGGAAGACTTCAACTAGCGTGTGGAAACCGTCACTGGAGCGATTCTTGCCTTTTAAAGCCTTGGGTCTTATTTTGGGAGAAACTTGTGTGGGGAGGGGAGAAGGGGAGATATGAGTGAGGGGGAAGGGGAGATATGAGGGGAAATCGGAGATATGAGGGAGAGGGACGAGGGGAGAGAGAGAGGGGACCTTCAACTTTCGTTAGGGAGAAAGACACCTTCTTCAACTTCTAGGGTTACTTTTCTAAGGGGAATTTTGATATGAGGGTGAGGGGAATGGGGAGGATAAGGGAAAGGGGAGATATGAAGGAAAGGGACGAGGGGAGAGTAGGGAGACTACGAATACACTTTCTCTGAAAGGCAGAAATTCCTTTTCTAATCTCTGGGGTTACTTTCTAAGGGGAATTTTGATATGAGAGTGAGGGGAAACGGGAAGAATAAAAGGAAGGGGAGAGAAAGGCTACTGTACTTTCATAAGAGGGGAAAAAAAACCTTTTCCAACCCTTGAGAGTATTTTCTAAGGGGGAATTTCGTTGTGTGGGTGAGGGTAAGGGGAAGGATAAGTAAGGGAGAGGGGAGAGGGGGAGAGAGTGAGGGGAGGCGTGATGGTTCAACCCCTCAAGTTTGGTGTGGGTCACCATGGTAACCAACAGTCCTCAGAACAATTTTAACAACCATAGTACATATTATCTATGGTACACCAGAGGTAGGTACCAGTGGTACTACTGACAAGTACCTAGTTACGACACTAAGTTTATTCAGGTATACACTTATGCACTTACCTTCAGTAGTTAGGTACTTACTTTCAACACTCAGGTACTGGTGGTACTACTGACAGGTACCTAGTTACGACCCTAAGTTTATTCAGGTATACACTTAGGTACTTACCTTCAGTAGTTAGGTACTTACTTTCAACACTCAGGTACTGGTGGCACTACTGACAGGTACCTAGTTACGACACTAAGTTTATTCAAGTATACACTTATGCACTTACCTTCAGTAGTTAGGTACTTACTTTCAACACTCAGGTACTGGTGGTACTACTGACAGGTACCTAGTTACGACACTAAGTTTATTCAGGTATACACTTAGCATTACCTTCAGTAGTTAGGTACCCTTTCTTTCAACACTCAGTACTTGTGGTACACTACAGGTACCAGTTCCACTAAGTTATGTGGGTGTATAGGTACTTACCTTCAGTAGTTAGGTACCCTACCTTCAACACTAAGGTACCAGTGGTTCTACTGACATGTACCTATCTACCTTCAGTAGCTAGGTACCTACCTTCAACACTCAGGTACCAGCTGTACTGACAGGTACCTACCTACAACAGTTAGGTACCTACATACAACGCTTAGGTACCTACCTACAACAGTTAGGTACCTACATACAACGCTTAGGTACCTACATACAACACTTAGGTGTACAGTACTACCAGTCAAGGGTGTTGTGAACAATTAAAAAAATTTTTAATCTCAAGTTTTTACCCAAAATTTTTGTTAAAACCAAACAATTTTCTCGAAAATGGGTTTTATTACGCTACCAAAAAAAAGTTTTTCCCCAAAAAAGTTTTCTCGACATTAACCGGTTAAAAAAAAAAAATTTTTAAAAAAAAAGTTTTATCCAAAATCCGGACAAGTATTACTGCCGCATTTAATGCTACAAGTTACCTGACATATTTACTGCGAAATTACTGCTCAATTATCTGCTGACAAGTACTGATTTAAGTAAGTTTACTGCTGACAGTTATCTCAGTACTGCTGACAATTATTATCTCGAAAGTTATTACTGCTCAGTCATTACTCTGACAATTATTCTGCTGACAGTTATCTGCTGACCAAGTTATTACTGCGAAGTTTTACTGGCCAGTTATTACTTCAAGTCTATCACATTAATCTGCTGACATTATACAGCTACAAGTTATTACTGCTGACAAGTTATTACTCTGACAAGACCGGTTATCCTGACAAGTTATTATGACCAAGTTTTAAAGTTATATACTAGCTTTCGGACAATTATTACTGAAAATTATTCTGCGAAATCCTGCTGACAAATTATGTTGACAAGTTATACTTGCAAGTTACTCTGACAAGTTTTACTCGCTGACAAGTTATTCTCTACAAGTTATTACTCGACAAGTTTATCTGACAATTATTAGGCTGACAAGTTATTCTGCGACAGTTATTACTGCTGCAAGTTATTACTGCTGAATATATGCTAAGTTACTGTGCAAGTATTACTGCTAAAGTCTGCATTGTCTGACAATTATTCTGCTGACAGTTATTCTGCGACAGTGATCTGACAAGTTATTGCCAGCTAACACAGTTATTACCCCTGACAAGTATATGCCAAGTTTACTGTACAAGTTATTACTGCGACAAACCAAGTTATTACTGCTGACAAGTTATTACTGCAATAACAGTTATATTAACTGCTGACAATTATATTGTCACAATTATTACTGCGACAAAATCTGCTGCATTTCTGCTGAACACTAAAGTTATATGCTGCAGTTATTACTGTGAAATTATTACTGCTGACAAGTTATTACTGCTGACAGTTATTACCATGACATTATTCTGCAGAATTCTGCTGACAAGTTATTGACAAGTAAATAAAATTAAAGATATTACAAGTAATACACCATACAAGTATATACGCTGACGTAAGTTCTGTGACAATTACTCTGACATTATTGCGTCTACAATTATTATCTGACAGTTATTACGCTGCAGTTAGACCTAAGTTATACTCTGACAAGTATTATACTTTTACTGTACAGTTATTACTGCCGACGATACGCAGTATTACTGCATGACAAGTTATATCTACTCAAAGTTACTTCATACAAGTTATTACGCGAAAGTTATCTGCGACAAGTATTGCGACAAGTATACCGACAGATTCTGTGACAAGTTATTACTGCTAGACAGTTTTACTGCTACAGTTATTCAGCTATAAGACAATTTACTGTAACAGTTTTACCAAATATGACGTGACTAAACTGAGACAGTATTCTACAAGATTAAGTACAAGACATACAATTTTAGATATACCCTTAGCAAAATACTAATGACTGTTAAAGAACTGATAACAAATATACGCAGTAGCAAAACGAGCATTGATTGATCCTCAAAAGGGAAAACTTAGGCAGATTCTCGACCTTATACTAGTACATGACTGTTTAAGAACATATTTATGCATGTTAGGTTGAGCTGGAAAAGTTGGTTGTGAATATGTGACAGTTAGCGACAATGGTGAAACTGGACAGTGGGATGCCTGGGTAACATTGTTTGGGTCAAAATTCTGGTTTAGTGACTGGTGTGTCCATCCTGGTGTTAGTGATGTGTGGGTCACATCCTGGGTGTTAGTGGACGATTTGGGTAGCATCCTGATGTTATGGTACTGGTGTCTAGGGTGCATCCTGGGTTATAGGGACTGGTGTGTCTCACCTGGGGTTAGTGATGGTGTGGGTACATCCTGGGTGTTAGTGGAGTGGGTGATCCTGGGTGTTATTAAGACTGGTTGGTCACATCCTGGTATTAGTGGACTGGTGTGGTACATCCTGGGTGTTAGTGGA